TAGAGTTCCTATATACTATACTTATAAGTGGGCTTCATATTATGCTTATAAATTGGCTAGTAAAATTTGTGCTTACCCTTGCACAATAAATATAGAATTTAATTGAATCGATATTCAGATTGACATGGTTTTTGAAATTTTTATTTATTAATATACAGGCTCTTGATACCAGATATATAAATATTAAGATTAAGTCAAAGAAAGCAATAGAACTAGAAAGTTAAATAACATATTATTAAGTATTACTCGAGATTGCTAATATAATACTTTTGCCAATATTCACTATATCCGTGTTACACCTTGCCTGACCAGAGTCCGGTCATGATCAACATCTATATTTATGATTCAGGTTTGGTCAGACCTTTTATATCAAAAATAATCTATTGTCAAATTTAAAGGTAAATTATAGATATACAGTACTAATAGTTTATAGTTTTTATAGTTTAGTTAATATATAATTATAGTTTAATACATACTTTGTGTCTTGTAAGATAAAAAAATAATATTTTCAATTTTATTTATATAAATAAATTATGATTTTTTATTTATATAGTAAAAAAAAATAATTTATGCCACAAAGTCTAAATAATTGAGGTGAAAAAACCTTAATCTAAAAATTCTAAGGAAAAACCTCAATAGTCTATACTATGTAACTAAAAGTATGTGTTGGAAATCCTTATTCAGGAATGTACACTTTTTTAACTTTTCCCAGCATTGAAACGCCATAAATAAGATGTCTGATATCCTCCATCTCTGTCTTAGTAATTTCTTTCCTTCTTAATTTAATTGTTAACGATATCCGACAACGTCTGATATCCCTGGTTTCTTTTAATTCAAACGATAACCGACCAGTAAAAAAGACAAGAATTAAAAAATAAATTTATAATCAAATAAAAAAACTATCAAAAGAAGAATCCTATAAAAATTTATAAAAAACGAATAATTGACAAAAATTTTACTAGCCAATTTATAAGCATAATATGAAGCCCACTTATAAGTATAGTATATAGGAACTCTATTTGTGTTGAGAAAGAATTGTTAATTTCGCGAAAAAAATCATGTCCTTATTCCAACAGTAATAATCTTGTTGAAATTTTTAAGGAATTTTCTAAGCAAGATGAGTCAGAGACTCGAAGCTTCGCTTCTTCTGGATTAAGTACGTTGTCAATAATCGGTAGAATGGAAAAATATTTCACAATAATATTTCAAGGAAATCCAGACGAAGATATGATAGATGTGAATGACTTGCGAAGTGAGAATACTCCCATATCTGAAGCAGACGAACATAATCGCTCAAACAATTAAAGTGCAAACTTAGAGTCTAACAAAAGATCTCTCGAAGATATTTCCAGTAAGAAAGTGAAAAAGTGAATTAAAAAAGAAGACTCTCCCTTGCTGAAGAAACTCATATTTGAATTTACCACTGAGACTTCTGAGACTTCTGGAGATATAGAGTGTTCTATGAAGCAAATTTCTGAAGTATACACTATAGATTTTTTATGGCTCAATGATAATATTACTCATGCAGAATCCTGAAACGAAAGCATAAACCAAGAGATTATTCGATGTTATTATTGCTTTGGAGATATTTTATCACAGCGATTAAATTATTATAAAAGTTTAGATCATAGAGATTTAGCATCCAAAACATTGGTTAATAAGGAAATTCGAAAGCAAATTGGTGATAAAATCTCCAATGATACTCTATGCAAAAGAATTGAAAAGGCAAGGAAGATATTTGCTCTTCTTAATAATAGTTTTAAAGATAAGGGGGAAACATGATTATTCGAATTAGAATATTTATAGCATCATCAATATCAAAATTAAGTTGGGAGGAAATTTGAGTATATATCGGCAGAAATTATTCGTTCCGCTTAGGAATTTTGAATTGGTCATATGCTTCCTGCGCCTGTGAACTCGAATTCACAGTTAGTCATTCTTCAGTCAGGGAAAATACTAAAAAAGGAAGTGAGTTCTAGAATGATCTGTGGACCAATTCTTGAAATTTGATTGGCTTAAACACTCTTTATGTCTGTATTTTTTGTGAAATTTCATTCTATTTGATCATGGTTAAAAACTATACAAACATATAGAAAAACACCTATACTTTTTATATTGCCAATAATCAAAAATAATCAACTCATTTCGAAAAAGTAAATGAGATGTGAAAATTACAGTTTTTGCATATGTTAATGTATTAAGATGAAATGAGAGAATATAATTCTACTAACTAAGTTGTATTCAAACTTTTTTTTTGAACAGTGTCCATTTATTAGAAATCAAGAGCAAAAGACCTTCCATGTGTCTTTACAAGTTTAGTTGAAGCATATGGTAAAGTTGAGTTGAGATTATATAAAACGAAAGAACAATAAATGTAGCAGCATGCAAGTATCAAGAAAACAGCTAAGAATCTTGCACTCTTTCATAATTATATTCCTGAACTTGTTAATATATATTCTTCATTAAAGTTATTTGTGATTTGTAAAAGACATTATAACCAAATTATTGTTACTAATCAATTTTACCAATATTTTATAAATTACAGTCAAGAAAATAAAACAATACAGCTCGATCATGATGAATATAAAATCACTCAATTAGAAAATTATCAAAAATCTCAGTCTATAACAAAACTGAACAATCAGATTATATGAATGCAGCAGCACCTTGAGGATCAAAGCATTAAAATTGCAAATTAAAAAAACAACTACAGAAGGCTTATGAAGATATAAATAAGCTTCAGAATTTGTATGAGGAAGAAAGTAAAAAGAATAAAACTCTTACTAAATAGTGGAATTTACGATTTGCTGATCACTGTAAACATATTGATGCAATCATTAAAATAGCTAACAAAGAACACAAATCAGTATACGATAATGTGGAATCATTAATCCGAGATAATAATAGGTTTTTGATAGACAATATCATAGTATATTAGTCATATGAATGGCTGTATAAACACAATCAAATAATTGTTAAATTCATTGAAACTCTAACTCAAAACAACAACAATATTTCCTTAAGCCCGGAGAAACTTTTTAAGACTGTCATCACGATTGATTCAATATATGGTATACGACATGGGAAATATGTATCAGAAATTCATCTCACTGCATCAGCTGTCAAGTATTTAATTACATGATCAAAAAAGACTATCAACATCAATAATCATATTACAAGTGTAGAAAGCTATCATCAATTTCAAACCTGGCTAGAAGAATTATCGGACCATAAAGAATTATTACCTGAGGACCTTTTGTTTCTTGTATTTGATAATGAACAATAAAGACAAAAGATCTATCTTGATTGTGGATTTAATACAATGGTTTACCATATTGTTATGAGTTTTGTGGGTTTCAATATGCCATTGTATAATAAAATCCAACATACTAATTCATCCTAGGCTTATTCTCTTGATAGGTTATGATACGAAAAACTTTATGATATTAGCTTTGAAATGCAAGATATCATTGACAAGAAATTATATAAATATATTTTTGATTTTTACTTTGTTATCTAATGAAAAATTATTCATAACTAATATCATTAATTCTATTATAACAGATGTGACAACAAATATTAACAGCATGAAAAAATATCCTAACTGTAATCAACAGTACATTGAGAATAGAAAATAGGTGTGTTCTACTTGCAGAATGTAATTGCCAACATTGACTGAAATGCAATGACAGAGAATGGTTAAAGTTGAAATTAGTGAAACAGATCGATCAGCTAAGCCACTCATTTTTAAATTATACAGTATTAATGATGATTCTTATACTATATCTATTCCTAAGATTAACCTAACTTAATCATTAATAGTTACTGATCCAAAAGTCAAAATTCTAGAAATTTACATTTCTGATCCAATTGAATTTAATCCTAATTTAATAGCAAATGTCGAAAAAGTTTTCTTTCATATAGAAACAATATCAGATGTTAAAGATGGAGCCCATAAGTGGATTGCAGTTACTTGTAATGATGTTTCATATCATCATGCTACCAAGTTAAAGGAAAAGTTTCCTTGGTTAGTTCTTATACCAGGACAATTGCATAAAAAAATAAATATGCTTCGAACATATGTAGAGCTGAATTGATAAGTTGACTTATTAATTGTTCATAATAAATTTTGACATATATTTATTTATATTTACTTTTCTTTCTTTTTATGCTCTTTAGGGATATTGATTTAAAGCAATTTGCATTGTGTCAAGGGTATTAGACAGAAAACCAGCTTGTATTTTTCAAAAAATGTGCAGATTATTATACTATAAGTCATGAGATTCTATTTGTAACATATATTGTCAAGCAATCGCAATGGAACAGATATGGCCATATGTGAAAAACCACACTGATCCATCAGTTAAAGGATATCTTTCATGGACAAAAATCAACAGGATCCATTTTACAAGATAAAATATAAACAGGTATAATTCATTATTTCAAACTTGTCATATTACTGTTGTTTCGATAACATGCTAACTATAGTGTGGCACAAAATTTTTTGCAATTTGATTACCGCTTTTCAACTGCGAATATCTTTGCCATGTTAAGACAAAACCATTTCACAAAATATCTCAAAATGATGCTTTTGATAAGAAAAAAACTGGGTATAATATTTTTTTTTTGTTATCTCCTCTTGCCTCCTCCCGCCTTAAAATCTAATATTAAAATGGTCGTTTCGAAGTTAGATTAACAACATAAAACTATCTCGCTTTTGTGGAAAAAAATACATGTTCAGTTAAAAAAATCCATACTATAATTAAGATTCCCCTCAGAACTATATATTATAATCTTCGAAAACTTCAGATTACTAAAGGCAAAGAGCAAAAAAAAAAGGACTGATTGACCAATATCTGTTACTGTGGAAATTTCAAAAAAAATAAAGCAATATATAAAGCAAGAACCTATGATTTCTACACAAAGTCTAGCAATAAAACTAGGTAATAAAGTCTTCCAAGTAATTATTGTATGCTATTTAAAGTCACTTGGGTACAAATACAATGTTCCGGCTAAGACATCAATACTTACGAAGCTCCATAAGGAAAAGCAAGTAGAATAAACACAAAATCATTTGGACAATAATTGGAACAATATATTTTTTACTGATGAAACAGTTTTTCAGCTCTTCTGAAATACTATTGGACAATGGTATAAGAGTTCGAGACTGTTAATATGTTAATATATACAAAAACTATAATTTTCACGTCTCATTTACTTTTTTGAAATGTGTTGATTATTTTTGATTATTGGCAAATATGAAAAGTATAGGTGTTTTTTTATATGTTTGTATAGTTTTTAACCATGGTCAAATAAAATAAAATTTCACAAAGAATGCAGATGTAAAGAGTGTTTAAGCCAATCAAATTTCAAGAATTGGTCCACAGATTATTCTAGAACTCGCTTTCTTTTTTAATATATTCTCTGACTGTATTAGGCAGAACAAACCAAAAAAAGATCGACAAAATTGAAACTACACACCCTTATAATAATTGACTGAAAAAAAAATGTTATGTAATTTTTTTTTTTTTATACTTTTATAATGATGTGTAAAAAAATTTAAATTCTCTAATTTTATTAACTAAAATTTTAAAGCTTTAGTTTAATATTTCGCATGTCTGCCCTTAGCCCTAATAATTTCTTTTGTACGGTTAATCATACTTAAAATTAATTGACAAATCATATCTAAGTCAATATTTATCTATTTCTCTTGCACCACTTTTACCAACTCTAATTTATATTTGGGTAGAAGCTTTCTTTTATGTATTGACAGTCCAAATGATCCCACAAGTTTTCAATCGGATTGAAATCAGGACTTTGGACCACCCAATCTAAAATTTGAATATTGTGCGTCGTCACCCACCAAGCCATATATGAAGATATGTGGCACGGTGCTCCATTATGCTGAAATATAGTATCTGAATTCCCATGAGCCCAAGATATGAAGTGTGTAGCAAGAATATTTACGTATATATCAGAATCCATATTTTCTTTCACTTCTACTAAAGAGCCAATTCCGTTCCAACCAAAGCATCCCCAAAACATTACAGATCTATCACCAAATTTGACTGTAGATTTTATATAGTTTTCATTATATGCTTTGCCAGTTTTTTTCCATACTCTAACCCAACTATCTAAATTAAAAAGTGTGAATCTGGACTCGTCAGACCATATGATGTTTTTCCATTCTTCATTCCAGTTGTATTTTTCTCTACATCATTTTAATTACATAATTTGCTGTTTCTCAATCAAAAAAGGCTTCTGACATGAAACAGAACTTCTAAGGCCCATATTATAAAGGTATTTATGAATTGTATTGGTATGTAAATTGATATTTTAGCTTGTGTTTAGTTTATTTGTAATCTTGCCAAGAGAAGCGAAATGATTTTCATGAACAACATGCTTTAAGACATGTTTTTCATGTTCAGAAAATTTTTTTGGTCATCCCAAATGTTTTTTTGGCTGTACAGTACCTTTTTCATTATAATGCTTAATTGTGTCATGAATGGTTGCCTAGCTCAAGCAAAATAATTCTGAATTTGGTATTGTTAAGGTGAGCTCCAATAATGCGTTCACGCTGTGCGACCGTTAATGCTTTTCCACGCATGTTTTAAGTAAAAAGATGATCAAGACCTAAAAAAGTAAACATGAAAAATTTAGGTGTACTTATATAAAAAAAATGACACGTATTTATATCACGGGATACAATTCAACAATCGACATTGTTCCGTCGTACGGCAACGTGATATGCAAAGAAGCGTATAAAAGAGATTTTCACTTTGTTTTGTCTCTGACAAAAGCATGGAGGGTTCCCGATCTATTTCGCCAAGTGTGCTGGATCCGGTAACTATAGTTGATTCGGCGCTTCAATACGGAGAAGTATCACATGTTTGTGTAAGTAAAACGTATAAACAGGGCTGAGTTGGGCGGGCGCGACTCTTCTTTTACCATTCTCATTCACCATCATGCAACAACTAGACATGGACGTGGACTACTCACTAGGATATGGTCGCTTTTGCGTGAAATATTGTCAAGACTTCCCAGCAGCAACTGAGAAGGAGCTCGAGGATGCATACAACAAGTATAAAGTCTTCTACACTAAACACCATCGCGACAACCCCGGAATAGCCACGGATTGTTGTGAAGAATTTCTCCAAACGCTTGGTAAACGAGGTAAGAAACACACGTTTATTGGGAGGATAGAGGAACAACAGGGAGAGGAGTTTGAATACTGTTACTGGTTTTGTGCTATATTACAAGAGAGAGAGGCAGTTGGGTGTTATTAGTTGGAGCAGAGCTCCGTCGTAGAGACATTCGGGGGTTCGTAGCAGTAATGGAGAGAGAATAGTTGGAATGCACGATTGGGAGGAGTATAGAATAGAGCTTAGTAAATGGCGGAGGAGCTAGGTTATATGGAGGCGGTACCGCAGAGAATAGTTCGAATGCATTACGACATGCGTTGGGGTTGGGACATAGAGCAGAGTCGTAGCAAAGGTTCGGTTGTATGTAAACCCGTTTGAAAGGGCTAATAAGCAAGATACGATACGTTTGGGTTAAGTAGAGGAAGGGAGAGAATAGTTCGAATGCTGTCACATTCGCAGTAGACATAGAATAGATAAAATATAGCGAATGTTACTGGTAAACAATTTCGCATACAGCGATAAATAGGAGGCAAACTAGTAGATATTTTACGGCAACGAAATGCTTTCCCGAACTCTTTCAACATGACGTTTCCGTTTTTGTTATGCTAGCCTGTCTACAATCAACTCTTTTTTGCACAGGTGGAGAAAAGACTGCGCTGCCATACACAACAAGATTAGGTATAGTTGCTTCAGAATCCATCCGTAGGGTTTCATCTTCAATTAGCTGACCTTTTCCCCCTTTGTTATTTGCAGAGGGCCTTGGTGGTACTAACCTGAAGACCTTTCTGTCTGAAGGAGGAGGTGTCGACGCTTATGAGGGTATTGATGTCAATAATCCTGATATCTGTCCCCGTGAAGAGACGCTCCGAAAACTAGTTGAAACTCTCCATAACAAACGTGTTCTACTTGTGCGATCGCCGCCCATGGCTGGCAAGACTTCGCTGGCGCAACTGTTAGAACGGTATCTTCTTCGAGACAATACTATACGTGTTTTTCGTATTTCGCTTTTATGGTTGAGAAAAGTCGGCAGAGAAGCTTGGATGTTTGAAGAAAGATTCAAGGAACTAATGAATGGCACTACTTGGAGTCAGTTTGTGGATGAGTGCAGGTTTATTCAGACATTTCTTATCGTTGACGAGGTGCAGGTATGGAAGATTTGAGGCATTCTTATAGTTTTAGTTTTTTTTGTGGATTCTCATTAAAGGACTTTGTAGGTACTTTATTCCGAAAAACTTGGCAAGCCTTCACACAATGGTGGTGATGTCTTTTGGAACGTATTCAAGGACTGCATGCAATATGCTAACCTCCGCATTTGCGCCTTTGCCGTATATGGTTATCGAGGTGCCTGGGATGGCTCAGCTTCCAGTGGCACAATGAACGTTTCTCCAATTAAGATCAACTCTCGAAATACCTGGAGTTTGGAAGAGATGTGTTTCACCGATGAAGAATATCATGACTACGTCTCACGCTTCTGCAATAAGTATCTTAACATGAATGACGATGATGCTTTATGTCTTCAGCAATACGTGTACAATACGACAGAGCGTCATCCAGGACTAGTCGCATTCTTCATGAACAATATTAAAAATCATTTCTCCCAACAACTGAAATACCCGAGAGAGAGGGAGACGCTGACATGGGATAAGGTTTTCAAGTATTTGAAGTCATATAATTTTTGGGATACAGTAGTGGATGTGAGTGTTTTTTCCTGGCTTTAAGGTTGCGTAATGACATAGATCGTATCATTCCACTCATTGGTTTTGTTTTTTTAGGGTGTCCGTGCATACACGAAGCTTGAGCATCTGAGTGATGATGAAATATTGCTTTGCGATGATGTGTTTCGATATTCCGTTCCTATTCGGGACGTCACCGAAAGTAAATCAAAGCGTTTGATCAAAACAAACATGCTTGTCGAAAAAAATGAAAGGCTCGAGTTTGCTGCACCTTACTTGTGTATACTTTACATGCAGGAGCGCTGGGGATCTACCAACAGGGCAACGAAAGCTCCCGAGGATTTAAAATCCTTTCTCATCGACACCTTTACTGTCATGGACCCCCAGACACTACAGAACTCATTTGGTGTTGGCAAAGACAAGCGGCTTCTAGAACGCACTTGGCAGATGGAATTCTACCGCGCTGCCACCCAAGTCCTCTCCAATACTGTCTATATTTCTCCTGACGTTGGAGCGGATTTCGGTTCGCGTGGATTTGTAGACTTCTATGTAGATGATGACCGAAACTGGGTGATTGAGTTATTAAGAGATGGTGAAAGAGCGAAAGAGCATGAGAAGCGTTTTGAATCAGATGGTATTTATGCTAAAATCCTGGAGAGTTCCAAGGAATCAGTAATAATTGATATTCGAAATCCGGACCTTTGTAACAGTTCTCCAGCGAAATGTGGCTGTAATTGGATGAATGTATATTGCCAGAAAGGGTGGGAATCAGTAATAATAGAGTATAAAGGTATGAAACAGGAAATTAGACTCATTGGAGAGCAAGGAGTGATGTTAGAAGACGATGAGAGATCAAAAAATTGAATGTCCACTGGTCAATTAATTCTTAATTGTTTTGTATCACCTTATTACAATCATTTAATAATAAATTTTTATGTTTCGCATGCATACGTTATGAGTCATAGAAGATAATTCCGGTGCCACTCTGATCTCGAATAATGAAAGCTAGAATTGAATTCGAATTCTTTCTGACATGGCATAGGTTACGGTGTAAATTTAATAACAATGCTGTTTTTATTCAGCGGATCGCTAAGCGAATATGAACGTTAATCTTGGGCTTCGCTAAGACACCCCCCCAAAAAAGTAACAATGGATGAGCCAATTCGATTAAAATTGAATCCCATATTTATAATGTATATGATTGGTACGTCTAAAACATATCAATCATCTTAGATACTTTTTTTGGATTATCCGCACAATTCTGACTACATCCTCCCTGCTCCCTGATCCTCGGAATAAAGCTAAATGTGAGACATTCTCGCGAATTATTTTAGGAGTCTGGGTGTATTTCTGGCTTACATATATGGGCGAAATATTTTGATGTCGACCACTAATAAAGTAAGGAATAATCCGATCTTGAATTTTCTTTGATTCAGCACACAGATCCTCAAATACTCCGTTCTGGTGTGAATTTAGTTATATCTGGAATCCTGTCTGGCGCTATTTTTTTAAACGTAACGTTCTCTCGGTAAGCTTTAGAGCTAGTTGCGAAAATCTGATAGCTAGTCTGAACTAATTGCCATTTCGGCTCGAAATGCTTACCTATTAATACGAGATCATCATTTTTAATATATCGATTACCTTTCTTTTCCTTGAACATTCGTTGTAATTTATTACCAAGCATAAGATTGATTACCATATTCGTCTTTCCGCTATGCGAACCCCGCAAACTAGTGATCTGAAAGGCCACTCGGGTGCGTATTTGTTACCGCTTATTCTTGTCAAAGATTCTTTAGGCGTTTCGTCTAGTTGATATACATAAATTGGCATTTTTTCTTCCTTCATCTCGGCTAAGACACCAATTTTTATACCTGGAAAATTATGACTGGAATTACTGTTTTTAACCGTGTGTATGTTGTATATATCACAATTTTTATTTGTGGATTAAAGACACTACGTGTTCCGTTTATTACATAAAAAGAAAAATTGTATCGATTACATTATCAAAGTTTATTACATGACATTTTGTTGCGAATAATAAACACTATTATCTTACCAGGAAAAAATACTCAATATTTATATGGGACATGTTAGTGTCTTATTCTGCAGCCATACGGCATAAATAGCCCTTTTCTACTAATGTACGGCGGATGTAGGGTAGAAGATCGCAGGTATACGGAATTTCAATAAGATCTATGCCTTTTTGTTTGCATAATTCTCGCTTTTTTTGATCACAATTTTTTTGGGACTGCAGATCGATAGCGCCATTTTTTTTGATACAAATCATTGCGATAATAATGGTGCGATCCGTTATATTCGAACGCCAATTGCAGCTCTTCATTATAACCATCTAAACGCAACCCTCCTAAGAATTTTGGCGCACTTGATGGAAATTTCTTACTTAACAGATCCTCAAAAATATACTGTATCTACATCTTCGCTCATCGGTATGATGGAAACAAATTGGGCACCATTCAAACTTCGTAGCTATTAATGGATATGGATATTCCCACTGATGCTTCCCGTTTTCACAGGACCAGAGATATACATCAAAATCATTTATTTGGCCAGTTTTCATAATACAATGTCCACCACGCTTCCTGGCATATTGTTGTGCTTTAGCCATTTTATTAATAATACGAACGAAATTAACAGACCTAAAACGAGTATTTTCTTCCAATATACTCTGGGGCGGATACTGAAGTGTGTCAATATTTACGTGCATAAGCTCTTCTTTCACAAATCCATGCTTTGGAGCATATTCATCATCATCATCTCAAAGATAATATGAAACCGGTTCATTTTTCGTTACTACAATTTTTCGAATTTTATGTAAATAAGGTGAAAACGTCGGGTCCGTAGCCCTTTTCTGATTTCCATACCTCCTTCCCACTCTGCATTAGCAAGCAGGTAACGAACACTATCCCCCTTTTTAACTTATTTTTCTCATCCTTTCCAACAGGACGCTTATGGCTGAGATTCAACCTTTTCTAATTTGATGGCTTTTATTGGTGCTAAACCCCACTTTGTAGAACCCAGAGCTCTAATGAGACACGTTGGATAATTATTTAGGTAATTAATAACTTCTGGTAAATACTTAACCCACTCTCTTATCAATTTAGGATTTTTAGATATTGATTCAACGGCATACTAGATTTTATAAAGCATTTCCGCAAGTGTCTTACAGAATCTGTCTACAATTGCTAGATCCCGATGACTATATGCGCCAATCAATCTAATCATTACATTATGTTCTTCCATTATTTTACTCGTCTCACCCATAAATTCACGCCCTTGATCATTGTAGAAGTGTTGGCCATACAAGTGGATTTGATGGAACATTATAAATTTTTTTGAAGGCTTTGGCAACCTCTGGGCTATTTTTCGATGTAAGAGGAACAGCGCATTTAAAACGCGATGCAACGTCTATAATGGTGAGTGCCCATTTATATGTCTTTTTATTAATGGTATCATTTGTAAGGCGCAACAAATCACACATATGTACGCAGTTTGGACGTGAAATTTTTCCATAACTCACCCGTGGAGTATTTTTTGGTGATGGAGCGTATTTTTGCCATTCATTCTGGTTATGCAACCATTCACGAACTTTTTTATATGGGAAATTATATCCTTTATCTCTGATAGCATTATACAACTTTCGAGCATTGGAATGATAACCAGTAGGTTGATAATAAAGCATGCTCAGGACAATTTGCAATTCCTCATTTGGATCGATTCTAATAATAGGCTTGCTCAATTTACTCATTTTCGATGTTACTTATTATAGTAAAAATTATGTTTAGCAAAGTCAAGAGATAAGTCAAGAGACAAAGTCGATATAGATCAAAGGTTGAGTCATTTTTTACTCTCAGAATATAAAATGGAAAGAAATAATTCCCTAGATCCGGCATTCGTGCAACTTGCACAATCGAATATCGAATTACGGGAGGAATTAAATCGCAAGGTAGAAATAAACCGTACGAATGAGAGAAAAATTCGTAAGCTTATACGGGATTTAGAAAAATGTGAGGGAGAGTTAACACGTCGTAGTACCACTATCCTTGATCAGGAAGAGATCCAAAACCTAAAAAATCAAATAACAGATTTACGCAAACAATTAAGATCGGCTCTCAAGGAAATTAAGGCAAACGAAACCGTTATTGATGCCAAAAATAACCAGATAGCTGGGTATGAGGAGGATATTTTAAGACTTAAGGCGAGAATCAAAGAATTAACATGTCACAAAAAAAATATCGCCTAATCAAATTGAAATGACATCTTCACCAAGATCACCAATAATCGGAGACGACACAACCCTTGCATCATTTGAAAGTCTCTGTCAATCAATCAGGAATAATTTACAGCTCTTTCCTACTACAACACTAGGAAATACAGTTAGGCGGGCTTTGGATGGGATTACTCAGCATTACAATCAATCTCAGGATGAAAAACATATCTTAGAAAGGCGACTCCGGAATTTGCTCAATGCCACTACGTCTACAATTCAAAATCATCAAAATACAATTCATAGGCTAAATGATCAATTAACACAAGAAATAGAAAGAGCGAATAATGCTACCAACGACAATGGGGCATTGTGGAGAACCAATGCAAATATACGGGATGTGTGGCGCATGTGTGAAGAAGATTATAGAAGTGAAAAGTTAAAGCACGTTTTCTGGCGAGTCTATTACGGGATAAATACAACCTGATTATTATCAGAAATTTTCGCTCTAAAACTTCTTTGCAATAAGTACAAAAATAAAGCTCAACCACGCGCTATTCTGTACGGGAAATACAATAAATGGAAAAATAGGACTAGAGATAAGCACGCCAAATTTAGCAAGTGGAAGCTTAGAACGAGGTTAGTCCGCGACGCTAATTTAGAATTGGAAGACCGAATTAATTTTTTAAATCAGAGAATTTTATATTTACAAAATAATATACTGCAGAATTATAATAACAATCGGAACATGGCAGGATATGAATTACCAAAGTTTCGCGGATTGACAGATCCAGAAGATTTTATTAGAGTTTTCGCCGATGGTGTGAATGTGTTAATTATGACCCAGGTGCTGGACATAATATGCGAATGAGAATTCATGGAATTTTTGAAAATTGTCTCGAAGGCGATGCGAAAGATTGGTATGAAAGCAGGATTAAAAATAAAAATTGGGAATTACAAAACATTACTGCAAATACTGGCGTAGCAACTTTTCACGCTATTAACGCATTGACTAATAATCAAATACGTGCTATCGATGTTGCCAGATTTAGAGGTAGAGCTCAGACTATTCGAGAGACCGCACCAGCTGATGGCAATCTACCTGCGCGACCATTAGTTCCGCCTCATTCAGTATGGGATGAAGATTGGATAACATCAGGTGGACAGCCAACTGACTTAGCTCCCAATCCTCCTAATGTGGGTAATAATGGAAATGTTGTAGCTCCGAATATTACTATTGGCCAAGTAATTGATTATTTTCGACGCGAGTACCCTACCATTACTGCGGAAAAGTCACAATTAATATTTCATTCTTTGTCCCAAGGCAATGATTCAGTAAATCGTTTTTATTCGAAATTAAAAAGATTGATTAAACAAGCTTATCCCGCACTAGTAGAAGCGAATCAAGAGGAGTTAGTTAGACAACAATTCTTTAAGGGAATCTCACATAATAAATTAGAAGTAACTCGTATCGGTCTTGAACACCCGATTTCTACCTTAATACGGAAATTAGAAGAAATTGAAAGACGGAAGGCGGAATTAATGTTAGGTGAATATAACCCTGAGATCCACCCAGTCACTTCTCAATTACAATCAAGAGTCGACATAAACAGCTCTTATAAACCAAGTAATACAGGTATGACTAAAAGTGAAGTTGAAAACCTAGTAAAATCCATGATAAACTCCACTGAAAACCAACCCATTCCAGGTACTGTGCACCCCGCTCCACAGACGCGAGGTAGAGAGTTACCACGTCCCAGACAGATGGAACCAGGAAAATTATATTCAGATCCAAAACTCCGATTCAATTATCAAGAATGGTTAACGGGGTATGGGACATTAGAACGTCTTAATACCACAGCCAAAGATACATCATTTTTTCAGAACATCACAGATATTATCTCCAAAGGTGTATTCGAAAATATTTCTGGCTTCTTTTTAAAGAAAAATGCAGAAAGTGATTCAGCCATATGGCAAAAAAATATTGAACAAGATTCTGATGAGGAACTTTCTAATCGCATGATTCGTTCACCAATAGTTATAAAAAGTTTTGATTCTCCCTGCTTTACAGTATCAATTCCTTTAACAAATAACTTACTGGGCTCAAAGTTTGGAGCACCTATATGTGGAATACCGAAATATTTCTTTTTTCCAGTGAAGAGAACCGGAAATAATACCTCTTCGTATGACATTTTGAGGTAATCGGAACGGCTTTTTATTTTAAGGAATTTATTCACATTATTGCGTAATTTTTTCATTACATCTATAGTAATTTAATCATTTCCGTCCAGTATTCTAACCTTGAGATTCCGTTTCCATTATCGTATGCCAGGTCGCATTCTGTATAATAATTTTTGGGACATGTGAGGTACAACGAGTCAGTATCACCGTACTGAATTTCATATTCTTTTTTTAGTACATATTCAGCAACGAGCTTGATATTAAACTGACCCGCTGATGTAACAGCTCCAGCAAGATGATGTTGGAAGAATGGAGAAAGACTATTACCCGCCTCACCGTAAAATGTGTTCATATAAAGCTTTACAGCCTTCTGCTTTGAATCAAGACAAGTATAATTAAAGCATATAGCTTCGTATTCCACAATAAATTTTTTAGAGGTGGAAGCCTCCTTGTTTTGCAAGTCAGTTTTATTTATAAAAGAGGTTAGAATATTAGTATAGTTGTTGCAATCTTCCTTTTTTACACTTCTCAAAATATAATCTATCGCATCACTCAATAATAGACCCTTTTCTTTCACGTTACTAATTATCAATTCCATGTATTCTTTTTTCTTTGCAAGATTGGCGAGTTGTACTTTCATTTTGTTTCTCATACTGAGCAATTTTTCTAGAACTGATGGATACAAACCTTTGTTATCGTTTCTATTTCATGACGTACAGCCCAAGCACATAAAATTCGGCCATTGAAAGGAAACTCAATTTCGTGAAGCTTTTTTCCTTCTTTCTTTAATATACAGTATCTGTTTCTTCAGATGAGAAAACCATTTTTTCGGGTGAAAGATTATATGACATGATAATAGATGGGTACAATATGCAAAATCTAAACCTGTGACTGGGCGTTTATTATTAAAGCCTTTTATTGGAGGAAATACATGAGCCCCAGGATATTTTCCTGATTCTACATCTTTGCCTGGTATCATGCTTACTAGCATATCACGTTTCCAGGCTTCAGCACCCAAGAGATTACACACCTTCATACCTCCAGCATAATAATGTGAATCGAAAAGAGAGACGAATGCAATGGATACAATTTCCCTATTGTCGTTTATCACATTTTGTTTAACCAGAAGTTGTTGGCAGCGTAAGGCATCAATGATGCAATATTCTGCTACTTCGCGCATATGTGAAGCAGATTTTGTAGAATAACTTCGTTTTGCTGACTCATAGTAAGTTCACATACGGTTTATTGGCATATCAATTTTACCTCCGAGATCACACATTTTTAAGTAAAACTTGAGTGAGCTTCCTTTTTGCACTTCAGATCGCGGATATAGTTTTTTGAAACATGTGCGAACATCGATTGGAACACATCCCGGAAACTTCAGAAAAGAAGAAATAAAGAACTCTTCTGGACTTATATTAATTTTCACTGCTAGCTGACTAAAATCTTCTTCTTTACATTCATTTTCTTTAACCACTTTATGACTGTTTCCAGCAATATCTGAAAAACTTCCCATAGAACCTGGGCTTTCCCCCATGTTTTCATAATAATTCCAATGTAAAATTTGTTTGTTTGTACTTTGTCGTGAGTTTGCAGACATTTGTAACCACATCCATTCAAGAATAGGTAGTCGGCTAGCCTTTTCTACGATGAAAGGCCAATAATAGTCCGAATCATTGAAACCCATTACAATATCTGGTGCTAGTGCTCGCCAACATAGCGCAAATGCCTTTAATAAATTTGTTTGATTTTCACATATGATTGTGATCCAATCCGAGTCTGGCTCAGTTTCTACATTGAAAAGACAGATTTGCTTCAGTGGAGTAGGGTCATCTTTCCAGTGAACTGTCATACAAATCATAAATACATTATCTTCTAAATGCCATAGTCAAGGTAATTGATCTATCCACGTTCTGTGTGGGTTTCTATATCTCACGTTAATACCAGAGTGCGATCATGTATCATATATAAAGTTGGAAATAAATTGCTTATTGCATCTAAGTCTTCTATCGAATGAAAATTCTTTAGATACTTTAAATGCATATGAACAAAGAGAAAAACTTTTACTGTAACTTTAATGTTTATTACCCCCCACCCGCAAGAGAAATTCGGTATTCACGAGTGACTTTGCGGTAATACGGTATGTACTACGATCGTCTGATGCAATTTCCAGGTTATGCTTTTGGATGATATTAAAAGCTATCTTTCTTTGAAAAGTGTTTGTCGTATAAATTCGTAGATATGGCTTTTTTTCTGTATGATAACCACGAATTGGAAATGCTTTTATATGCTCTATTCTGATTTTACCCACATCTACAGTTTTCTCCTTGTTGTCCTTTTCATTGGCAAGAATATTTTTTATTTCCCCTCAAACAAATATATATCCTTGTTGTCAGGAATTCGGATATCAAAGAAAACTTTAATGCCTGTAATAGTTACCACTGCTTTCTGGCCATTGATAAGTGGGCTATATAAATGCAAGATATAATAGGAGGTTCCATTGATATATTTGTTAGATTCTTCTATATCCGTAGGTAAAGATGGGTCCCTAAAGTATTTAGCATATAAAATTTACGTCCCTTTACGTCCACGTCCCCTAGAGGACATA